TCTTCCTCAGGCTGGTCTCGAACTCCTGGCCTCAAGCAATCCTCCTGCCTCTGCCTCCCAGAGTGCTAGGATTACAGGCATGAGCCACTGTGCCCAGCCAAGATGCTTTTATGTTTTTTCAAGTATTCTTTTATGCCTATCTCATAGATCTTGCTTGTTTCTTACTAAGTGTTTTTCTAGGAACTTTGCCCTTTATTATTATTATTATTATTATTTTCTTTGCTGTTGAAATAGGGTCTTTTCCAATATATCTTAAAATTGGATGTATTTGTATAATTGAAAGATATTGATTTCTGTTATATAAGTTTTGTACTCAGCTACCTTATCTAGAATTCTGTTTTTGTTTATAAGCTTTTCAGTTGATTCTCTTGGATTTTTTTGAGTATGTAAGTATATGATCCACAGAGGTAAATTTCACCTCTTTCTTTCCTCTAAATTTTATGTCTATGGTACCTCTGAGATCACCTAGAAAAAAACAAATAAATTTTATGTCTAATTTTTTTCTTATCTATTTGCATTAAATAATTCCTCTAAAATGATTCAAAGTAATAGAGGTGATAGATCCTGACCTAGAAATATGATTATGTGCATAGATTCATGAAACTCTACTGTAAAGATGTAAATAATTTACTTAACTAGTCCTCAATAAGTGAACATGCTGTTTTCAGTGTTCTCAATTACAAATAATGTTGAAATTAATGATTTATATTTAACACAAAGACATTTTAAATTATTGTACAATCAAATTTTATTCTTTTAATGTTTTGTTTCTTTGATAATAACAATATTAGCTAACATTTATTGAGCTTTACTGTGTAGCCCACACCGTGTTAAGTGCCTTACACTCAGTATCCTTATTATCCCCATTTCTTAGGTTTAAATAACTTGCCAAGGTAACCTAGCTAGTAAGTGGCTGGGCCAGGACTTAGACTCAGGTCTTTTTTTGTTTTTATATTGCATTTTCTAAATTTTATTATTATTATTTTTAACTATATCATATGGAACATTTCAAGCCTATACATACAGAGAAGGTAGTACAGTGAAGCCCCATGGACCCCCCATCCAACTTCAATAATTACTAACATTTTGCCAATCTTGTTTCATCTATCCCTTCCCCATTTTTAAAAAGCATTTTAAAGCAAATCTCAGATATCATTTCATTCACAAATACTTCATCATACATCCCTGAGTGAGGAACTTTTAAAAATGTAATCACCATGCCATTAGCACACCAAACAAAACTGACAATAAAAAAATTGTTTCTTTTTTATTTCAGCAAATTATGGGTGTACATACGTT